GATGTTACAGTCACTGCCCTTGCCGTCCAGAATAAAAGAGAACATCCCAATTGAGTGAAGGGGTTTGTGGAAACTGTGGTTCCTAATTATTGTGATCCAACATTTGCCTCGTTTTTCAGGATGAAAAGTTTCAGGTGAAGGATAATCCACTTCTTACCTCCGAGACTGTGTTATGATCTATATGACCTTATTATTTTTATTGTGAGTATTAGGCTTATCATTATTGCTGAGCACTGTTGTTGTGCTATGATATTGTAATATTTACCATTATATAATCAGAGGGGTATAGAAAAGTTTATGAAAGTGTCACTCCACAATACAATAGCAAAATATATAAATATGTATAGTTGTTTTATGTTACATTAATCAGTGTCTAGCACACCTTCCTAAGGAAAGGATATGGACCAGAAGACATTGCAATTCCTAAATGATATTTAGACAGACTTAAAGAAGTTCCAGATCTATACTTGTGCTCTTATTATTTCAGTTATTTTGCCTTTAATGTAAATAAATGTGCAAACAATATACTTGCTCTTGTGAATTTATTTTAATGTTAATTAGATTGTGCCAGCTGTCTCTTTAATATCGCGTGGTTTACATGCTGCTGCTGATTGGGCTGACATTTTTGACACACCCACCAAACAAGAGAATACGTATCTCAAACCCCGTTGCACACCGTTTCCAGGAAACATGTCTTTCAAACCGGAAACCGTAGCAAAACGTTGCACACCGGGTTGAGCTTGAACTTGCCTGAGGCTCTATCCAATGATCACTGTCACCTGAATACTGAGCACCTGCACCATGTCAACTTTCTCATCAAATCCTACACCTCACCTTCACTCATTGCCCGATCCTGTCATTGAGTAAAGTGGACTACTTATCTTATTCTCCTGTGAATCTCTCCAGTGATTGTTTTCAATAAACTCCTGATAACCTTTCAATCCTTGTCCGACTCTCCATTACATGACACATACACTTAATAACATATTTGTTCTTGTTTTATTAACTCTAATTAAACTTTGTTCAGTTTTTCAAAAAACATTGTCTTTATTATTCATCTCAAGAAATTGTATCTTGATTTAAGAATGTTTAGATATCGGTATAGGAAAAAAAAATATATATATTCATTGGAAAATTATATATTTTTTTGCAGTGCATGCAACATTTAATGCCACGACTTCATGAATTTAAGACATTTTCCTCTGATTTCAGACCTTTTTAAGGCCTGCAGAAACCCTGTAGATCAGGGGTGTTCAAACTCGGTCCTGGAGGGCAACTGTCCTGCAGAGTTTAGCTCCAACTTGCCTCAACACACCTGTCTGGAAGTTTCTAGGCTGCATTCCACTCCACTTTTAGACACGCACTCGTGAACTTCCCTAAGCACTTCCCCTCGGGGGAATCCCTGCTGCCATTCTGAAGTGTGTTACTCTTCGTGAAGTAGACGAGGGAAGTTTATATGGACAGACCCTCGACCCCTCTATTTTGACAGAGGGAGCGAGTCTGCTTCATATGCACACTTCAGGCCGCTCCATAGACCACAATGCAACACGATTGTGATGTCATCGCAGACCACGATTAAGTTATCCCCACCCCAAACAACTCAAACAAAATATATCAATTATTTTTTAAAACATTTATAACAGTCCAAGCATACCTATATTCATATAGAATGCTGCACCAAACAAATTCGTAAGGGGACAAATTTAAACAATAAACCAACTCCATAGTGGATTCTTTTTTTTAATTTATTTTTATATATTTTTTATTATTATGCAAACAGATATACAATTTACCGGTGACAAATCAAATACAA